ATGATTTCACGATGACGACGACAGCATTCCAACTGGCTGTCGGGTGTGGCTGGTGGGGCGCTATCTACCCAATCATTGCTGTATTATATTTGGCGGTGAGACTCGCGGATTAAAGTGATGACGCAATTTCGTGATGACAGGTACCCTGCATCCCGGCGCATACTTGGGACTGACTAGCCGAGTCAAGTCCTAATGTACAGTAGTACAGTAAGGTAGTGCATCGGGATAACCATTCTTCCTCGAAAGGGGGACTGAATCTAATGGATGCCATTGGATCTAGGTACAATATACTTTGAGATCCAATGAAATAGTTTAGTTCAGAGTGGATACATACTCCGTCACATACAGAGCAAGGGTATGGAGTAAACAAAATGGCCATTTTGTATTGATCGAGCTACTAAGCGAAAGATACAGCAGATGAAATGAGATCAGTCTGCTAACAGAATTAAAAAACACCCCCACCAAACATTAGGAACAATCGAACTTAAGGAGCTTAGTCGACATCTTCCCTATCTCATACTCTCTCTCTCTCTCTCTCTCTCTCTATATCCCTGGGATGAGGGCTAGAAACATCCATTTAATCCCATCGCCATTGATGAATCATTTCTCACTGGATGCAGGTGCAGACGCTATGGAATTACTGTAGTCAGTTTGCGTGTTCATGCCTCGCGCATGCGAAGGGAAACTGAGGAAAAGATACTCACTTGTTGTCGGCGCAGTATCCGCCAGCGCGGCCCTCGCCAACGCACTATTTTCCATGTCAGTCGCTTGATAATCGGAAGACTTGATCTAGTACCCAGTGACATACCTTGACCTGGCAGGCCTTGTCACCACCGAAGGCACAAGTCCAGCCAGCACGAGCGGCAAGCTTCTCAGTGCGGGCCTCGAGGTCGTTCATGCGAGCCTCGAGAGGGTTGGGGCTTGGGGCAGCAATGGCCATGGTGGACAGAGCAAAGAGGACGGCGGAAGTGGTGATCTTGGAAAACTGCATGATTATGATTTGTTCTTGTTCTTGAAAAGAGAAGAAAAGATGTTGTTGGTTTGTGTTGAAAGGATGCTTGGGGGTGATTATTGATTGAGCTGATGATGGAGATAATTGCGAAGGAATCAAGTCCATCTTTATACATTTCCTTTCCACCCTCATCGCCCCTTTATCTTGATTCTATCTATAGAACCTCGTGTTCACGGTATGATGTCCTTTTTCGAGTCTCCATCGATTATCCTCGCATTGCCAGTTGGCTACTACCTCGTATCCCTTCCTGTATAAATCTACATCAACTACATTATCGATCTTCCTTCTCTGGATCCGTGGAGAAGGCAGGCCGTCAAATCTGACGCCGATTCCCTTGCAGGAAGCCTTGGCGACGCAGAAATGAGGTAAATACGAGCCTCCTTTGGGGTAGGAATGTGTGGGCGTCAGCATGGCGGTATCTCGTTCCTGGTCCTCGGTAGATCATACGGGAGAACGAAGCAGCTCTCTTCAGCTCTAGATCCTTGTCTACTGTTTCTGAATTGGTGGGCCACGGGGACTTCTTCTCCAGGCCTTTTGAGAATTTCAGATTACATTTTGGGAAGCTGTCGACCCTTCAGCTAGCTTTCCAAGGTTTGCGCAAGTCAGCCATGGCATTGCTTGGCCTCGGCACTCGTATTGCTCGCAGAGAAAGGGCCTGTATCAAAGATGCCAAACCAAGACGAATTCAAGTGGACGATCTTCGTATTCAATCTTAGGATGCTGCAGGCGATAGCGGGCACTAGCAAAATAAAGCTAGAAAGTTAAGAGACGTTGGGGCGCATTCGATGCCGACCCGTGGCGATCATGCCGTTGCCCTGCATCCGTGAGCCAACCAGGGTTGCAGGCACTACTCACTAATTTTAGACGGCCTTCAGAGGCATACTACATTCCCAAGTAGTTACTGGACAGCTCAGACGGCCCCCGTAGCTGCAACTCCGAAATGGCCTGCAAATCACGGGGCAGTTACTTTTGTGAACTTCGGTATGCATTTTAGGTACCTTGCTATTCCCAACGTTAACGCCTGTGAATCTTTACGAGATCGTAGAGCCTCAATTTCGGTTGATACGATATTTGTGGTGGCAATAAATTTAACGAATCTCTTGAAGCGCAGGTCGCTGTGTAGGCTTCGTGTGACAATGAAATCGAATTTGTCAAAGCTATACGAGCACATTCCTGGAGTCGCACTCGAATTTGCAGAACGTATGCACATGCGAGGAAGTGAAAACTGTGGGCGGATTTTTGGCTTTGCATGCAAGGCGAGAGAAATTATCGCCCAGGTGACTTGACAGGAGAAATCTGCCGGAACAAAAAGTCGGGGAACTCCATTATCCACCATGATGTTTCATTCAAGTTTTACCTATCGCTTCCGATGGCCAATAGCTCGTTTATTCTTTCTGTATCCGCCTCCCGTATTTTATTGGAACAATCCTCGGAGGTATACTACTGGCATAAATTTATTATCCTGGATGGAAATGTTTGGAAGCCCTGCAGGGCGGTTTTTTGTGGAGTCTTATTGCATGATTTGAATACGGTGAGGATGCCATTTCATCGCTAGAGGGTTATGACTGCCGGGTGAGAACAATTACAAAAATATTCGATTAAGGCTCACGGTGGCTTAAATAGCCTTAGGGCTAGTAGGCATGGTTCTTCAATAATAATTTGCCAAGTTGGTGGAGAAATACGTTGCTTTAATGGAATGGTGCCTAGAGTCTGGGGCTTATGGTAGACCCAAAAAAATGTCATTGACAATCTTCTAAGGTTGGTATGTGCCCACTCCGATGTTTTGCTGCTTTGGCTTGAATTGAGCCGTTTCATATTGCCTTTTGCTCATGTAAGCATAATTTGGGAATGTTTCATCCAACTGGCAAGATGGCCGAGCGGTCTAAGGCGCACGGTTCAGGTTTCACCTGATCCTCAGAGATCTTTATAGATTTCCGTGTCTCGAAAGGGGCGTGGGTTCGAATCCCACTCTTGTCATTTTTTGCCTCCAGGCCTTGTGTTTTTGCGAAGTTTGGGTAAGATCCTCTCTACTGGAGATAGAGTATATGATTCCTCCCGCTGTGTTATAATATTCTATTGTTGCCCTGATCATAAACTAAAAATACATGTCACAAACGCTCATGAAGTACAAGTACAGTACAGCGTACAACACCCATGGATATTCCAAGTTGAGTTGTTAACATTGAGTAGCCCAATCGGTCCATCCGAACCTTAGAGTGGCTATTTCTTCCATCCTTTTTCGACATTTCCCTCGTCCGCAATGTGATTGTAGGGCTTATCGTAGCGTTGGTCCATTTCCTTATTGTGCTTCTTCACATCCTCGGGCAGGTCCTCGCGAAGATGACCTTCATGGTCGGCAATAGGCGACTGTCGGCCATCCCGAAGCGTTGGTCGCGCATTATTGGAAGGGATCGGGTAGTTGGTTGAGGCATCATGTTTCGATTGCGTAGTCTGTTGAGTCTTGTTCTTGCCACTGGAATAGGCACGTCGGCCGTACGAGTTGAAGGTAGGTCGACCCAGAGGGATAAATGAGGCCGAGGAATGGAGTCTCGCGTGGAGTCGTGTCAGAGTTGTCATAGTGGGAGGTAGTAGTAGTATTATCAAATGTGGATTGATGAGAAGAGCAGACTACGGCCTCCTAGGAAGCGACCCGAAGATATACTTACGTTACGAAGATCATTCTTAGCGTCATTCCCAGAAGTAGCCGGTTTCTGGGGGCGGGGATCCTGGTAATCCATGAATGCCCAGTGAGAGGAGCTTCTTATCGCCTGCCCAGGTGTGATGTCATCTTGAGCCCCAACAATCGACGGGTGGAACTCGCCTTGAACGCGGCCGGTGTTTATTTAGAGTAATTGATTTACAGATCTATCACTTTCAAGTAATAGAAATATACTCGTATATAAAATGAATAACTCCATGCTCTACTCATAGGTAACCGACAATTCTACATTCATCCATAATTGTATGATATCTACTACTATTCCGTTATATTTGTTTCAAACCTTGGAAGGATGCTCCTATACAAATAAGAAACTTCAATGTCCAGTAAACTCCCGATATCTATTGTCATTCAATTCCTGTCGAGGGATTATAAAACCCAATGAAAATATAGATACTGCTACACTTTCTGAAGGTGACTTATAAAAGAAGGAGAATTACGCCTAACTGCTGACACTCCAGCGCTGGGTGTTCGAGCCACCCCACACCCGGGCGGTTTTAGAGGGTGCATTTCGACAGTATATGCAGAGCCTACTATTAGAACCCGAACAGTTTAAGATCATTTGACGAGGAAGAGTCCTGATTTTCAGGTAAAGGAAAGAAAGGTTTACGTTCCGTGATACGTCGTGCTGAAACCGCCGTAAATATGCCTTCAAAATATGTATTCATATACGAGAACGGGGGCTATTGAAAACGGAGACACCATTTTAGGAGCCCAGATCTTTAGATAGTAGTTTCTTCACCCCCGAAAGAGTATATCATAGCGGAGGGGGTCAACAAAAACAGCCGATATGGCCATTGCCAAGGGATCCACTAGGCCGATCCAGGAAATGTTGTTGAGAGCCTCCCACACCTGGGCTGAGCGAACAGCACAAAGGAGGATTCAGGCAATATTTGGAGATGGTAGCTGTCACAGTGCTTGTTAATCGTAGAATTTTTAAATGAAGAAAAAGTCGCGAATATCCTTAGTTGCTGCGTATATACCGATGGGTAACAATAGGTACCATGCGAAGGTCCAGCCGACCGACTTGGGGTGCCCGTGACGTGATCAGCACGTGATCCCGTAACGACCGCGGGCGACAGCCGATTGCAGCGGAGCTGCCTTCTTCCAGTCACTATGTCCCTTCCGCTTCTCTTTGATGGAGGTACTTGGAAGATGCTGAATCGGATTTTCTTCTGAGTGTGACATTTTCAACTCATCTCATCTCCCATATCCCTCTCACAATATCCTTCTCATATCTCTCAGTCGCATCGCTTATCCTTCTCCACTATGGCCTCCCTCCCCGGATTCTCCGCCGCTGGGAGGACGAGGGCGTCCGAAGGCACCACGACAACCAACACCGATTCAGATTACACCTTTGATTACACAGATACTCAGTCCCAACAGACGGACAATTCAGATACCGTATTTCTCAACAAAGACACCTCATCTTCAGAACTCGGGACGGATGTGACGGACAAAGGTGCCGGTCGATCAAACCCCGTGGACTCCAATCAAGAGGAACCCCGAAAATGTTGGATCTGCTACACCGATGAGACAGAAGATTCGCCTTTGAATACAGAATGGAGATCGCCCTGCCCATGTGCCCTTACAGCACATGAAGCATGTCTGCTCGACTGGCTCGCCGACATGGAGAACCCTCGTTCTCGGCGGCGAAATGGGAACGGAGCTAAGATGGTTTGCCCCCAGTGCAAGACAGACATTATTGTCACACGACCGCGCAGTTATATTGTCGACGTTCTGAGTCTGGTTGAGCGGGTGGCGGGGCGTCTGGTACTTCCAGGCATGGTCTTTACTGTCGCTGGCACTGTGTGGGCCGGTTGCTGCGCACATGGAGCATATTCGATGTATCTAGTCTTCGGCTCCGAGGAAGCTAAAACTCTCCTGGAGAACAGTGTGGACGGCCCCTGGAACCCTGGAATGAACCTTGGCCTACCTCTCATTCCGTTGGTATTGATCTTCTCGCGCACTCGTTATGCTGAAGGTCTTCTACCGGCGATCCCTGTTCTTTTCTTCGCAGCACACAACCCGGGTCAAGAGCCTGATTTCGACCTTTGGCCTCCAACCCCTGCTATGACCTTCGCGGCCCTTCCATACGTGAAGAGCTTCTACGGCGCGCTTTACGATCGTATTTTCGGTGGTCTGGAAAAGAAATGGATTGCAGAGGTTCAGCCTCGCGCAGCAGAGGAGACCATGGATGAAGTCCAACAACAGGATCAGGCGGAGGGACTGGGTCGATTTGGCGACAACGCCAACGGCCAAATACTCATGGAAATTGATCTTGAATTGCAGGTAGGAATGGGCAATGACGACGATCTGCTTGAAGCTCCAGCTCTTCCTGCCGCCGATAATCAAAATGGCGCTGACGAAGCCGCCCAGGATGGACAGGTGCAAGGCCAGAATGGACAGGACCTCGGCCTCGGACGACGACAAAACGATATCATCCATGAAACTAGCAGCCTCGCGGATGTTGTTCTTGGTGCTCTTGTATTCCCAGCTATTTCGGCATCGATGGGTGGTCTTCTGAAATACGTCTTGCCCAAGTCATGGACCACCCCTTCCTCCATTCTGGAGCGCAGCCGCCCAGGGCTTCTACAGACTCGCTGGGGACGTAGTGTCGTGGGAGGCTGTGTTTTTGTCATGCTGAAAGACGCACTTGTCCTTTACTGCCGGTGGAAGTTAGCACAGACACATCGACGACGCAAGGTTCTGAATTACGATCGGGCCAAGAAGCACGTCGCAGGGAAGCGGTAGAACCTGGAGAATTGGTTAGACTTCTCGGAATCCTTTGCTTGTTTCTTCAAGTCTTGCATTTAATTCATCGTTTGCATTCTTTGGCGTTATTAGGTGATTTGGCTTGGTTTCTGTTGGAAGCCACTTACACGCATGTCTTCGAGACACTTGATGCCCTTCACGAACCCCTCTCACAAAACATGATACCTTTGCACATTATTATCGACCCTCTTGTCTCCATTCCTTGATACATGGAATTCTATCGCCGCTGGGACCATTATGGAACCTTCCTGTATTTTTGGTAAGGAGCGCAGCATGTTTTACAAAGGGTTTCCAGAAGTAGATATCGAAAAAAATAGCTATGAAGCCATTTGAGCAGCAGCCAATCCAGTATTTTGATTCCCTTAGCCATAAGATACGCATGTCAGAAATCTGTAGCCCTAAGCCGATCGCTGATCACGACGATCGAAACATGACCTTGACATTTGGAAGGTTCTATGGATAAGCGCGCGGCTAAACCAGAGGCGGCAGGATTCTGCCGTCAGGGAATTCAATTATTCCTCCCCGTACTGCCAGCTCCCGCGTCTCCTACAACCAACATACACCATACATCACCACAATGCGGTCTCTATCACCGGCTCTCGCCTCCCTCGCGAATGTATTCCGCATCCCCATGTCGCTGAATCCGGTGCGCCCCACGGTCAGCCGGATGTGTCACGAGACCCTGGCGCGACGACCTTCACCACAACCTAGCCCGATTGCTGCGGCCGTGCAACAATCGGCCCCATTCTCGTCCACAAGTGCGCTGGCAAAGCGAAAGGGTGGAAACACCGTTGACAAGCGAATCAGTATGTTTGTACCATTGTTTGGGTTGGATGAATGGCTTCAATTATCCCTAAACATTCATCATGTCTCGGGCCCCGAGAACCTCATCAGCCGGCATTGTAAAACACAATGAAGTCTAACAATCCCACTTAGCTCTCATCCGCTACTTCCTCTATCACCCGCTCACCCCCCGCCCTCTCCGTTTCTCTCGCAATCGTTACCTGCGTCACTGGACGATCCACCGTGCCTGGCAACTGTTCCAGGCCAAGCAACGCCGCCAGCAAGAACTCGAATTGGAGCGCCAATATCAGGCCATGCAGTCTGCATGTGAGGAGTTGCGTACCTCTGCTGGCGACGGAGGCAGACTGTTCCGTAAATCGATGAACAAGAAGGGCATCTTCACTGATATGTTCCCTATCGAATACGGCCGTATGCAGACGGATTATCCCCGGCCGAAGGTTGGAACCATGATTGGAAGCGACCCGAGAAGAAATAGAGGACTGGAGGACTGAGCTGTTGTTGGACAATTGCTGATGATTGCTGATGGGGTAGCATCTATTACGGCAACAGTTTTGTATCATTTGGCGCTGTGTATAATATGCATTTCTCTTTTCCGCACCGAGAGCATTGAGCTGCATCTCTGGACGGCCACATTTATATTACTTCAAGTTATTTGCGTGATAAATTTAAGTTGATTTCAAGATCTACCCAGGATGAATTGACATATTTTGGCAAGAGTGAGAGTAAGACTGGATTATGAAGCCCGAGAGCCCAGGGTGATAAGCACAGTGCATTGAGAAAGGCACAGAAAGAGTCAGAGATACTACAGGGACTGAAGGGGGAAAAAGAAAAAAAGGGAGTGATCGGTGCGATACTCTTCGGGGATGGAGACAAGAGATGGATATCCGGAGTTGCACGTGCATGAGAATGCGGGAAAAAGGAATGACGGGAAGGAAAGACATGAAGAATGTACTCCGAGAGAATAGATACGGCCGGAGCAGCCAGCGAACAAAATGCTGACGCCACACTCGGCCCAAAAAAAACCAGACCAGAACAATCAAGAACCACCCAAACGCCAATAATGCATGATACAGCGAAGTACCCAATGGAGTGCTACAAGCTCATGGCTTGGACTGAAGCATGACCACCGGACAACTTCAAGTTGAGAGACAACCGAACGCTGGGTTGGAAAACATATTCGCAATGTGACACGTTCCCGTCGTCACGTCGTTATAGAACCACACAGCAGGAGCTTTTCCGCTTGTCGAAGGTCAGCAGCGCGGCTCGGGTGGCTGCTTCGAAAACATCATCAACACCTTCGCCCGTCAAGGACGAGCACTCGAGATATTTACGAGCACAGATCTGGGATCCCGTGTCGTTGCCTTCTTTGGCCGTCACGAACTTGAGTGACTTCTTGCGCATTTCTTCAATAGCAAGTGGATCTTCGCGGAGATCTTTCTTCAGACCGACCAGAATGATTGGCACGCCCGGACACCGCTCGTTGGCTTCTTCAATCCACTATGCCAGAGCTTAGTTAGTGGCTGCAACAAACCGGCACGTTTGGAGGCCTGGCGACGAACCTTATGTTTGACGTTCTCTAGAGAATCTGGCGAGTCTACAGAGAATCCAATGAGGAGGACGTGTGCTTTTGAGTATGCCAGAGGCCGCAATCGCTCATAATCTTCTTGTCCAGCTGTATCCCATAGAGCCAATTGCACCGAGCGGCCATCTACTCGGCAATCGGTCACGTAGTTTTCAAATACCGTGGGTACCTAAACATCAAACGTTAGAGGGTATTGGTGATTTCGGACTGGGCGATCAATTCAACTAACATAGTGCTATCAGGAGATCTGTCAGCTAACGAGTTTTTGTTTTGGTAGATAAATGGAAGCCGGTAGAACTCACAGTGGGAAAGTAACCGAGGGTGAAGACGCTCAGCAGACTGGTTTTTCCACATGCACCGTCGCCAATGATTACCAGTTTCCTATATGGGTGAATGTAGATTAGCCTTCCGTTCAGATCACATGCAAACAAATCTGTCACGAGTAAGAGAGTAATATCTCCCCTCATTCGCAATGGTATTTTATCGCTGATGGCAGGATCTCAAGGCCACGATAACTGCAGAAGGCTCGGGATTGCTCTGCTAGCATTGGGCATGGGGGCATGACGGGGCTGTAGGAAAGAAGTCATGGTGGCTGCACGTACCGCCGCATCACATTGTCGTCATTTTGTTGTTGGGCCATGATTATGGATATCTGGCGAATATTGTTGATGGGAAGCGGATGAGAAGAGTAGGTTGCCGTAAAGTGTCGAGGGAGCGATTATCGAGCTGATCACCCAAGTCGCGAACACGGAAGGTAGCAGGGGTTCTGGAGTTCAGCCCTGCACACACGGTTTTTCCCGCCCAATCGACGACAAGGGGCAGCAAAGAAGATGGTGGCCTTAATGCACCAAATCAGTTGGCCAGTGACGCAGGGTGCTGGGGGGGCAAAGGCGGTCGGGTCGGAGCTGAAGGTCGGGGGATGGTGGGATGGAGTCGATGTTGATGAATTGGCCGAGGGAATCCCGATCTACCGAAGTCGAGTCGGGAGTGATGAGAGAGAGAGAGATCCGACGGGAGGAGACGGGAAAGTCAAATGTACGAAAAGAGAGAGGAGTAAGGTGAGAAGGAGAGGGAGAGGGAGCGAGCGGGAGAGGAGAATGCGGCTAAGTAAGATGACAATAGGAGATCCGGAGATTTAAGGCACTCTCCACGGAGACAGGACGAAGGGTTAGAGGGGGGGAGAGTGGATTACGGGACTAATTGACACACTCGGCAGCTACTCCGTTTGATCGTCCAGCTGTTTTAGGGAAAAATTTCTGTCTGGATGGGAGTTATTTTTAATTTGAACCTTAGCGCTTGAGCGTGTCTCACAGCGCGGTGGAGCAAACAACCCGACAGTACAGTAACAGACCTGCACCGCCCCCACGATTTAGATCGGCAGAATATCGGAGGCGGTGAAAGACTATACAACAGATGTGCATACGAAGTACAATGTACACATACAATGAATGCATACCGTCATGTGATCTGATCTGATCTCAAATTGGTGAATTGTTGTCTAGTCAGACAGTACAATCAAAAGGGAAATTAGTTGATCATGCCTTGAGAAGTAAATTGCAGCGTTTTAAAAACATTATCTTTTATAAAATGGGAGACTCCTCCCAGATGCTGCCATTTCTGTATTTCCTGCATGTATTGCCTGGCCCATCAGGCATCAGCTCGCTTGCGGCGGCTATCCCGTTGCGGCGGCACGACAACCAGCCAGAGAGCCGGAAAGCCCATCGCTTCTTCCCATCATCCGCCTTACGATCGAACACCTTCTGCGACCCGCGTTTCCAGGGCTTCGATATCTCCCTGGCCCTGGCCCTGACCAACTGTACCTCTTCCTCCGCGGGTCTCCCTGCGCCCCGGCCTCGTCTCCGAGCGAACACGTCGTGACCCGCCGGGATTATCGCCTTTCGACCCCCTCCTCTGACGCTGACACCAAACCCCTCTTGTTTGCTGCTGCGCGCCACTCCCAACGGACCTGCCGAGGAGCCTTTCGGATTTTTGCTCGCCTAGCGGAGGTTCCCCCTTTGTTGAGTTGGTCCTTGCATTGGATTGACCGGAGCTTTGTTGGTAGGTTCTTTCGCTCTCTCCCGCTCTTCGCTTTGGTCGTTCATTCTAGTCACCCCACCCACCTTGATACGAACTCGTCTCTCTAACCGACGACTCTGCGCTAGTCATAAATAGTCATACTGCCGAGGCAGTCGCTCCAAGCTTCATATCCACCATGACGACGCATGTATCGGCCGCTCCGGCGCCATCGACCAACGGTGACGCGCGGGGACCCTTGAGCCATTCAGCAATCGATACCATGTCACCATCAGCCCCCGTTGTGAATCGCAAGAAGCAAAAGCGCCGACAGAAACAAGCCGCTCGCCTAGATGCTCACTCTCACGGAGATCCTACTGACGTCGCTGCGGCCGAAGATCGACATTCCGACGATGATATTGCGGACCACGATAGCGCGGACTTTGATCACCATGAACAAGATGATGTCTATAAGAATGGAGACTTTGGATCACACTCGCATCCTTCAATGTCGAATGGGCCAGATGATCATCACGAACATTTAACCGACCACAAATCCAAGAAAAAAAGGAACAAAAAA